TTTCCCTGTGTCTTTTCCCATCAGAGATGGGAAAATGGGGTCAAAAAAAGGTAGTGTGAAGAGAGACATGACTGTTTTCCCCATGGCCATACAAGACTCCAAAGGTGGTCATACTACCTTTCAATGTCCACATCCTGGCTGCTGGAGGAGGTGGGGAGGGAGCCTGCAATATCCCCACGTGCAGAGATGGAGATGTTGCACTTCACAAAGCCTTTCACGCCTGCCCGAGTGTCCATGGGGTCACTGATAACAGCCCACTTCTGGAAAAACCTGTGATCTGAGAGGGAAGGGAAGGAGGTCCTTGTGGGAAGCCCAGGTTACCATTTCACATCCCAGCTATGTCTGCACAGACTGCTCTGGCCCTGCCAGAAGCCTGAAGGTGCAGGAGGTGCCATCAGCTCTCTGATAGCTGGCAGGAGAAGCAAGTGCTGGTCTTCATGTGAACTAAGTGTTCTCACCAGAGCCAGCAGAGCATGAAGGCAACATCAATTTTTAGACAAAGCCAGAGTCAGGGAGCAGATGCGCAGTGCAGTCAGTCATACCTGGCTGGCTGTACGCGGTCACAACTTCCATTTTGAATGTTCCTATGCACGTTCCCAGGAATGGTATCTTCTTTGAGTGAAAGACCTGCAGACAGCACAGATCTCGCTGAGCACCAAGAGATGTGGGCAGCCAGGTGACACATCCAGACACCTCTGAGGAGGACAGGACTGGTAAGAGGTGCCCACACCTCCAACACACAGCTCAGGCAGCAGTGGCAAGTTCCTCATGCACATTGACACATCTGAGTCACACAAAGCCCATCAGCCCATAGTCCTCAGTCAACCCTGAGCCAAGGCAAATTCATGTGCAACCACTTCAGCTTCTTTTGCCAGCCCCAGATAAGCCAAATTCCTACAATGGACCAAGGGCAGACCTGCTTTCCCACAGAGAGTCCTATGTCCATATCCTGCTGGGACAGGGCAGAGCCATACCCACACCAGACTAGTGTCTCTCCCCAAACCAAGCCTTGCTTGGTGCTTGCCAAACCCACACCAGCAGAATAGATGTGCAGCCTTTCACAGGAAAAACGCTGGAGATCATGTGTCAAAGGAGGTGCTGGCTGGGTTTAGCTATCTTCAGAAAAGCCCCAACTCTTGGGGGAGCCCAAGACCACTGGCTGGGACTGCCTGGGCTTTTCCACAAGCACAAGTCACTGCTGAGTTCCCCTTACATCAGTCGCTTGCCTCCACAACCTGCAGGATAAAAGGCTCCAGGAGCAACAGGGAATCACATCCAGAAGAGCGGGGCAGCAAGGCAACAGGCAAGAAACTGCCCCTGAGGCCCCACTTCAGTCACTGGATGCAGAGGAAACTTGACACAGAAGAGGTGGGAAGGCAGCACTGCTTAGAGCTGTCTCAGAGCAGGGCCAGGTCCCTGCCCCACTGCGGCCACAGGAAGGTCCTTCGGCCTCTCTGAGAGGCAAATGCCTCTGGCTGGAAAACCTGGCTGCTACTGGTCTTCTGGCTTTGCCTATCACTCCCAGCACCTACACACAGAAGTGTCAGTCTGTACCAGTTACTGACAAAGGATAAAGAGGAGGATATACATACCGAGATCTCTATGAGTCTGTGGAATAAAATGTCTCTTGGCTCATGGAATTCGAACAAAAAATACTGAAAGAGAAAAGCAAGACAGCTGAGTCCCAGGCTCCCAACATGGTCCCACAAGTGCCTCTGCCCAAGAGCAGCTGCATCCCGAGCATCCCCTGCAAGGATTGCCCCAGCCACTTGAGATACCAGCAGGTCAAGGACAGAGCCTCTGTCCGTATCACATACTTCATTGTAGAAGGGGCAGTTTGTTGACTTCTGCGTTGCTGTGTGCCTCTTCTCCTCTCCAACCTTGACTACCACAAAGGGATTAATATTCACCCCCACCAGCTTCTGTGCTTCAATGATATTAATCCCAACCTGAGAAAATGTGGGAGAAAAACCTTTGGATCAGCACTCTCCTCATTCCCAGCTCCATATCGAGCTTGTTTCAGCAATACCAGTACGCGGGGGTGGACACTCAGACAAGAGCATGATTGCTGAAAACTCTATGGCCAAGACAAACTCAAATGGTATTTGAGATATTTGTTTCTTTCAGACAAGCAAGGAAATGAAGTGTTAAATTCCCACCACCTTCAACAAGAGCAGCCTCCCCAGCAGCACTGTTCCTATTCAGTTCTTCATCCCAAGAGGATGGAAACCCACTACTCCCACATGGTGGGGTCCGCAGAGCATCTTGGAGAAGGTGCTCTTTGTATCTTCTGTCAATACTTCTCTTTGAATCCTACTGGGATGGATGATTGGAAAATGTCTGCCTCATTTGCTGCGACTGGTTACTAGTCTTAAAATATGGGAGAAATGTTCTCATATTTGCTCTCAGGACAAGCAACATGCTCTAAACTTCAAGAGAAGGATGGTAGGAAATTCCACCCCCACAAATGCTTCCTGCTTGGTCAATAGGACCCAACCTTGAAAAGCAGGAGACCCAAATGTGGGTCCATGTTTACTTAGAACTAGGGAAGGATTTAAATCCAGAGCCAGGCTGAATGACCTGCCCTGAAACCTACAGTGCAAAAGACAGGACTGAACTCAATTTCCAAACTTCACAGCAGTATCAAATAAACCTGATATCGGAACGTGAGCCAGAGCCACAGCTTCATACTAGACTCCTGGCATCTCCAAGAAAGCCCCTGCAGCAGCCGTCCACCTCCAGTCATGTCCCATAGATGTCCCTGGGGGTCCAGCAAGGCCCTGGGGAAGCTGGCAGGCACTAGTCCTGCCTGCATGCTCTCCAAAGCTTTGCTCAGGCAGTGTTTTGCAGTGTTTTGCATGTGGCTGTCCAGCTGATTCCCTTCTCCTGTACATCCATAGCTAACTACATGGCCCAAAAAGAAATTCTGCTCTGGGCTGGCTGATACTGGAGTCAGCACTCGTGGACGCAGTCCATTCAGGAAAACTTACACCTTGCCCAGGGAAGCCATAAAAAGCAAAAAGGTGTGTCTCTGCTACAGGCCTCACCAGGGCATGTGGCAGCTGGAGAAGCCCAGGCCTGCAGCAAGGCAGCGAGATCGGCTGCAGGGCCAGAGGCAGCTGCAAGGATGTGCACCCAACACTGCAGTACCTGGAAGCTCTGTGGCATTGGAGTGGCAAAGAGGTCCCATACGGAGCAAAGTCTGGAGCGGCTGCACAGAAAAACAACCAGGATGAGCAGGTCTCTTCATCAACATGGACCTCAGCAGGCCCTCACCGAGGGAAGCAATGGAAACCCTAGCAAATAATGGCCCCTTGCCCTGGGAACAAAAAAAATCCCCAACAGTCCCTGTTTGGGACCATTAGAGACTGAAGATTTCTGACATTTTGCAGAAACAGAATGTCAAAAGAGATGCAGTAAGCCCCATGAGCAGGCAATTTCCACCCACGGACACAATCAGGGGCAAGAGAGAAGAGCCTGCCATAGCTACCTCTTCACAGGGCTGAAGACAATGCCTGAGACCTCCATCTCAGACACATCATAGAAATCTTCTTCCTCCTCTTCCTCATCGGTCTCCAGGCCTTTCGCCAGCTTCCTGCCCAGTGCAGCAGCCCTCCTGTCCAGTTGACTGGCTCTTGGCCCCTCAGCTGCCCTGCAAACCACCCTCATCATGCCACACGCTGCATCATCAGCCCTGATGGGTGGGTTGTGTGTTCCCATCCACTTGGGAGGGTGAGCTGATGCACTTGAGTAGGGCTACTTACTCCAGCTCCTCAAATCCAGCGTTGTGAATTATTAACTCAGAACTGTAAGAAAAAAGAAATGCTTTGCTGAAAAAACAAGGGCGTTGCAGCTGTTCACTGATGCATTTAACAGCACCACAGCCACATTCCTTCTTGGCTCTTGGCAGGGATGTGAGCATCCTCCTACGTGATGTTTTGCCACTGTCCACCCTGTGTGCCTGCTGCAGTGTCTCTGGTACTCCAGAAATGATACTCCCCAGACCTTGCTGCTGCCTGTCATCCTGGCCATCCAGACACCCACGTCTCCCCAGACTTTGGGCACAACCTGTGTGCAGAGTGCCTGGTGTTGCTACAGTCCAAAGCCACACTCTGCAACATTGCAACCACAGTCTTGCTCCCATCAGCCAGCAAGGCTGCAGAAATGCTCTAAGTCCAAAAGGACTCCCAGAGTGCAGTGAGTTGTTGCAGTCATGGGGTCTTTGTAAAGACAACGTACTGTCTTTCCAAGACCCTTGCTCACTTATTGCTGCTGTAGACTAGAGAAGCATCAGCCTGGCCAGGGGTGGAGAGTAAATGAGGCTGGATTGCATCCAAAAGGCTGTCACTGGCAAAGACAGCTGTACAAGCTGCCAGAAAATTTGCTCCTCCCAGGATTTCAGTACCTGTCTTTCATCTGATAGACAAAGTCCTCTTCAACCCAGGTCCCTGCTGAGCCATCTGGAGGTTGGTAGCGCAAATCCAACTCAACGTAGATCTACAAACAGAAAACAAAACTCCCTGAGAGTTTGGCAGCCACAAAACAACTGCAAAAATGTAATTGAAAAGGGGGAGGGGAGCATGAAAGAAAAAAAAAAAAGAAGTGAGATGCTGGTGGAAAGGAGGAGAAGGAAGGGGATCGCTACCCCACAAGAAGCCTGTTTATACTATACTGTCCTTGTCTGTCTCCATCAACAAGCTAGCGTCAACCAATCTCCCTCCCCTACAGCTTCCCAGACTCCAGGATTCACTGAATAAGTGGGCTCAAGTTTCCAAATCTAAAATATACCATGGAGAGGCCTCCAAGAGCCATCTCAGGGCACTTTTGGCAAAGAAAGTGTGGAGAGTCCTGCAGCAGAGCAAACTAACATGCAGGGCTTTAGAGTGGTCTCTGTGGGAGGAATGAGATAGCTGGCAGAGCATCCCCAGCCACGACAGCTTGGTTTAAAACACCACAGAAGCCATAAGCACACCCAGGCTCTGCATCACGAGAGCCATCTACTCAGCATTAGTGATGAAGAAGGATGACCAGAGAAGTATGGGGTGGCATGTTGGGTATCGGCACAGCCAGCACGGGTCTGGATAACACCCGGTCTGCAGGTAACCAGCCTGGTTTCAAATCAACACAAACACACAAGAATTTCCCAGCAGAGGCCAAAGTGGCAGCCACGGAGGAGGTCACTTCTCAGTAGGTTGAAGAGGATGTACAAGCTGGATTCATAGCTCAGTCCCTGAAGAGCACATGTTTCTGGGAGGAGAAATACAGCCCAAGAGAGCTGTAATACAGCAGCTGGGAAAGGCAGCAGTAATGACCGGACGGATGCAGAAGCTTGAATTACAGCTGGGTGAATAGTTGAGGCTCTGGAAAAAAAACCAAACCTTCAAACCACTAGGAGAAAAAAAAGGTGCAAAAACCTCAAGTCCCAGAGAAGAACAGGACTTGGAATAGCAGGTAGGTCTTTGTTTCCACTTTGCTAAAGGAGCAGCAGTTGAAACAGCCTCTCTCCCTTGGGGACTCATCTCTTCCCAGCTGAGCTGAGGGAGAGGGTCTCAGGTTGCTCTTGAGTGAGTGTCCAAGTCTTACCTGCCCTGTTTCTGTCCCTTGCAGCCTTTGTGCATTCAGGGCCGCATAATAAAAAAACCAACCTGGCCAAACCAAAAACAGTTAGTTGGTTTTCGGTTGGAGCAGCTCATCAGCATGAGTGCTGCTGTTAGAGGAGCCAGTGGAAATGAGTTGGGCCGTGGAGCAGCTCTGACCCTACAGTGGTGTAAATGCCCCGACCTCGGTACCCTCAAACCATCGCCAGCATGGAGTACTGCCAAAGGGTCAGTCTTGTCCCTCCTGGATGTCACAAATGTTTATGCAGTGAGCTATGTCAAGCTAGAAATCATACTGGAAATGCTCAGTTTCCACCTGGACCTGCTCCCTGATCCAGCCAGCTCAGCAATGCAGGAGGGCCATGCCTGTGCCACTCGGGCTCATGGTCTGGTGGCCACAGAGCTGCATCCCATGTGCCACTGTGAGGGTGAGTCAGGCTTGCTCACGGGCAAGGCAAACACGGGTGAAGCACATTGCAGGGCTGCTCACCTCCACCTCTCCTCCCAGCCCTGCCTGCAGCCCTGGTTGTCCGTCACTCAAGGAACTGTGCCTGCACACCCAGTGGCAGGAAATGGCTCATTCTTGAGTCACATTCATCTCCCACAGGCACAAAGGGCCCAGAAAGCAACAGGACGGGAAGGGAACAGGACCCACAGCAAAGAGCAAAAGGGTAGGCAGGTGTCAGAGCCGCTCACACTGCCCTGAATGATTGCAAAGCCACCTGTTTAGCACTGGTATTTAAGCCAAAAGCTCGCCAGGGGTCCCGAGGCACCCTGCCACCTTCAGTCTCACCCTGTCAGTTCCTCTCTGCTTCGCACACTGCAGCAGTCCACACCCACATATACATAGTGCAGGAAGCAGATGAAATATCACCTGTTGCCCAGACCTAGGGAGGTTTTACTAAGTCTCCCTCTGCTCACTCAGGCCCTTGGCAGGTCTCCAGGGCCTCCCGCCCTCCCTACACACTTCTGGATGCTCCCAGAAGCATTTGATGGGTGTGAAGCAGCTGCAGCCCGTGCAGAGGGCACAAATGCCACAGCACTCCCAGGCTTAGAGCAGCACCTGGGACTTCCCCTCAGCCCCAAATCCACCTGGGAAGCGGCACTCAAGTTTTTCCACAAAGCCTTCCCGATTGCTGATGGCCAGGTCACCCACGGAGAACTTACACCAGTGACTCTGTGGTTCCTGTCGACAAGAGCCTCCCGGAGGATCAGCCTCCCAGACGTCATCAGGTGCTGAAGGCTGAGAACAAGGGTACCAAGAAGCCTAGAACAAAACCAGAGGCTGCAACAATACTGTACATAGCATCAGTGTCAACCTCCTGTGGGTGGAGAGCTCTGGGATTTGGGCTGTCCTGCTTACAGTCCCTCTGAGCTGCAGTGAAGGCAGTGAACTGCTGCAGCGTTTTCCACAGGAAGTCTGGCAGCCAAAACACCTGAGACCCACTGACCCTGCAGCAGGTCATGCCTCCACCCTTGACAGGCCCAGGCACCCTTGACAGGCGACGGTCAAAGGCTTGCGCAGACCTAATCTCACTGAGAGGGAGCTGTCCCCTTCAGCAGAGCTGGGCTTCATAGGAGCCAGCCATGTTTGGGCACTCAGCAGAGCTGGGGGTGACTCTTCCCAGACAAAACTGGGAAGCAAAGGCTTCACACAAGGAAATATGAAAATAGGACATAAAGCCATTGCTGCAGGGATGTCTGCAGGAAGTCAGGTGAAAATTTGCCTACTCCAAAAGAGCTTCTTCCTAGGGAAGGGTCATCTGGCTCCCTGCAAGTACAAGTTGAATACATTCAACTGCTCCTAATGCCTCCTTGTGCTACTGCTGTGTACTAGAGCCCATTTATACGTTGAGCTCCATCTCCCTATGGCAGCTCTGTCCACAGCCAAGCAAAGCCCTATGTGAAGAAGAGCTTTCTGCTACCTGCTGGAAACCACCATCAGGGTAGTTCACTGCCTGACAGGACCAAAACAGCGGGAATCATTCCCCAGTCACCTCCATTTCACCTGCTGTTACTCTCTTCCCCCTTACAACAGAGGTGTGTGGATAGATGCTGCCAGTCCCAGTCCAGTCATTTCCCATTTGATTTCTTTGCTCAACACCATCAGGTCTCAGTGATTTGCTACTGTTTGTTTTATCTATTTGTACTATAACATTTTCTACCAACATTTCAGTCAGAGACAATTCCTCTGATTCAGCTCCCATAAGGAAATCATTCAGTAAACCGTAACACAAAGTTCAGCTGCGTTATCTGCTCTGGCTTTAAGTGTCTTGCATGTGCTGTACTCATCGGTTTCCTCCACACCCTCTCTGACAGACTTGTGATAGCTTTGAAAGGGTTTGTATTATTAGCTGCTTCTAGTTCCTGTTGATTTTCCTTCAGTTCTTACATTTTGCTTATCAGAGCTAGCACTTTTCCCTGCATCCTCATGTTTCGTGTGTCCTGGATGAACTTGCCTCTACTTCCTTGGCTGGTTCCACCATCATTACTCAGTCTGTCACCTGTGCTCTTGGGTTTCCCTGAAGTGTTTTACAACTGCTGGTCCAGCCACTGCTGCTGGTCACCCCAACAACCAAAGGACCTACCTACCTGTTACTGAAAACCTTGCTGCAGTTATAAACCTTAATGGACAGGATCTCTCCCATGACGAGCTTCCCATAGTGAGGCCAGCAAAAGAGCTATAAACAAACAGAGCAAGAAGAGATGACAATTCAATTACCAGCCAAACTTTCCCATGCTTGGTGGCTGGCTGGTCTCCTCTGCAAGGTGACTGAACCAACAAGCATGACAAAAAGCTGCTGCAGTGAGAAGTTTCTTTTCTCCTGGCCAGGGCAGACCCTGCAGCAAGGAATAGAGGAAGGATGTGGAGGGAAGTGAGAGACTCTCCACCAGCACAGAGCTGCAGGTCAGCCACTAAAGTAGCTAGAGCATCATCACCTTGGAAAGAGGAGGATAATGTGTCTGCTGAGGTCCCTGAGCTGCCCGGTTGTGGGGCAAGAGGAGGCATGGGAAGGTACAGAGGTACTTTGGGAGAAGAGATCACCCAGGGCAGGGAGCCCTCAGGCCAGGAAAGCTGTGCCTCGAGGCCAAGATACACCTGATACCCAAACCAGCTGAATGCCTTGCACTTGGCAAGAGGAAAAGGTCCCTCCTGTTCCCAATCCTTCCCCAGGGAGCACAGGTGCATCTGGATGAGATGGGAAATGAGCATCAGGAATCACCTGCCGGCCCAGTATGGCTGGGCTTGTACAGGCTTCAGGGATGTGGCAGTGAAGATGGGTTCTGAAGGAAGGCTTCCCGCTCACCCCCTGGCCCTACTCCCCCAGTTACACCCTCCTGCCCAATGAGGCATCGGCCGAAGTGCTGTCGTGTCCTGTTCCCGTCCCACGGATGGCGCCTGCAGAGGAGCCCCGGGGTCGCGCCGGTTTGCCCCTACCTCCCCGAAGACGGCCTCCGGGCCGCAGCGGATCTTCCGTCTGGGTGAAGCCTCGGGAAGGAGAGGAGAGGCGTGAGTTGCTGGCGGGGCATCACGGCTCAGCCCGCCCGCTACAGGGAAAGCAGCCCCGTCCCTCCCTGCTTCCCACCCGCCACGGCCGGGACCCACCTCGGAAGCTGAGCTGCACCTGCCGC